ATTTGACTAAATAATATAGATTAAATAGTAACAATAATTGATACTTGACTAAATAATATAGATTAAATAGTAATATAATTTGACCAAATGATATAGATTAAATAATAACAATAATTGACATTTGACTAAATAATATAGATTAAATAGTAACAATAATTGATACTTGACTAAATAATATAGATTAAATAGTAATATAATTTGACCAAATGATATAGATTAAATAATAACAATAATTGACATTTGACTAAATAATATAGATTAAATAGTAACAATAATTGATACTTGACTAAATAATATAGATTAAATAGTAATATAATTTGACCAAATGATATAGATTAAATAATAACAATAATTGACATTTGACTAAATAATATAGATTAAATAGTAACAATAATTGATACTTGACTAAATAATATAGATTAAATAGTAATATAATTTGACCAAATGATATAGATTAAATAATAACAATAATTGATATTTGACTAAATGATATAGATTAAATAGTAATAATAATTAATATTTGATTAAACAATATAATAATCCGATACCGACAACAATCAATACTGAATTGATTAAATAAAGTAGTAATTGATATTGATTAAATAATAATAATAATAATAGATTGCAACAACCAGGGGATCCTCGACGGTAGTAATCGGAGGGAGAGGAACGAAAAAAATACCAACTAGGACAATTGTAAGAAATTCATGCGCCCCAGGGGATTGGAAACACGTCAGGAAGTAATGGATTAAGTTTTTCTAGCGGTCCGAGCATTTTGTCCGAAGAATCGAAGGATGTTTGCGAAATAAATGTTTATGGATGTACGAACGAAAAGTATTACGAATTAGGGGTAGCTGAAAACAAATTGGGGTTACCGTGCCGGTGATACAGGGGAAAAGGGGATATAAAACGTTACGCCTCGACGTTGTACGTGGGTGCAACTGTGTCGGAAAGGAGGTGAGAGTAGACCAGCTGTTACCGCGCGCCTACTGAAACGATACACCTACGTGTACCGCCTCGGACTGTAGAAGTTGCAAATCGATTACGATCTTCAGGAGTACGGAGTAATGCTCTTGGAACAATTGGCTTCCGATGTTTGCACACGGCTCGCCGAGCATTTAATAAGATTGCCAAACGACCGAAAGCGCGAAAGTGTTAATGGGGGGGGGGGGGGGAGATCGTTTCGAACGACGAAATTTTGGAAACTTCCGAAATTTAAAAGACGGTACAAACGTCCAAATGATCGAACAATTTCGAAACAATTGCAAATGAACGCAATAAATTGTTTTGAAATCGTCATCAACGTGACACTTGAAACTATGTACCCCACATTTCTCTTAAATTTAGAAAATATCTCGATATCATTCAGAATCAAAGGGAGTTGCAGAGTTTCGAAATTTCCTTTCGAGATCATCTATAGTATATATGTACGTGCAACATAGATGCATTCTACGCGAAGTTTCGGAGTTGGATCTCCAGAACGAGGATAGAATCGAATAAAAATTTCATCGTCTCGAGAGCGGAAGCCAAATACTGGAGGCGATAATTTTGATCGAGCGTGGATGTATCGTGTGCCTCGCGTAAATCGAAAATGCGCCGGTATACGCGACGAAATAGACACGTCAAGGAACGAAAGTAATCATAAACGGACGGTTGAAATATTGACTGACATATTATACAGCGGCCGCGCACGGCAAGAAAATCAACCGTTGCAATGTAACACGAATGCAGCGGCTAAAATTACTTGGCAATTACGATATGGCAGCGTGTTGCTTATGCTAGCCGAACGAGCGCGGATTTCGCGGTGGATAATATCGAAATAACCATGGTAGATTAGACGGCGAAGAAATGAACGTCCGTGCCAGGCAGTTCTCGAGTTCTTTAGAATATCTTCTGCAACTTGCATTCCTTTTTATAATGCACGAAATTATTCTACACTCGATTCTAAACTCGCATGTTGTTAAGAGAAGAAAACACGGACGATAATTTGTGAATTTATATTAGGAATTATGCTCTCCTTATATAATTAACAATATTGTCCTGTGATGTGCAGTACTCGAACACCTGCAGAAAATACATTTATGAAAAAAAAATATATATATATACATATATGTACATTTATGAAAATACACATTTCGAAATTTTTTCACCTTGTGTAACGACTATATTTCACGACTGTCCTTATGAAATTTCAAAATGTTTTTACATAAATGTAAAAACACTAATATATGTACTAGATAAATTTACTACGTTCCTCTTATTTATAATGACATTGCTCTAAACTCACAATAGAATATTCCAATTAATATAATATAATATAATATATATAATATAATATAATATAATATAATAATATAATATAATATAATATAATAATATAATATAATATAATATAATAATATAATATAATATAATATAATAATATAATAATATAATAATATAATATAATATAATATAATATAATATAATAATATAATATAATAATATAATATAATATAATATAATATAATAATATAATATAATATAATATAATATAATAATATAATATAATATAATATAATATATTTTCAAAAAAAAATAACGTCGAGAATTGTATCGTTGACTTGGCTACATTCGATCCCGCAAATTATCTAGATTGTTTGACGATCAATGCAAAATTGGTTCTCCTATTTTCTCCTCCAGCGTTTACCAATATTTGTAAAAATATTCTATTCTTTGTTTCGGAGTACATGGCTCCGGTTCTGTCATCCAGTAGAAAGCATTTCGAGTCGATATTCATATCACCCCTGATATCGTATTGCTCCTTATCGATTACTCCCTGGGTGAAAGAAAAATATTTCATTTTTTCCTCTCATGAATAAATGATCTGAAAATTTGAAAAGAATATGCGTTGCTTAGGTAAAAGATAAATGGATAAATTTATTCCATGAATACCATCTACATTTCAATCTTCGTTCGTCGTGTAAAATTCGTGTTGAATTTTCGTCGTGTATCTGATTAATCCGAATCACGCGACATAAATTGTAAACGTTACGTGGCGATAAATTAATTAATGAATGCCTTCATTATTGACGATCATGCATGGTTCGAGGTTTGATAAAATATCGAAAACAGGAAATGTCGTTCGAGGTTTGATGAAATATCGAAAATAGGAAATGTTATAATTGCCATGATAAATTATTGTACTATTATAACCCCAGATCCGTGCTGCTGGAAATGATTTAAAATTCAGTCGACATTTGAATTCAGCGTAGAGAGGAAGGTAAAACGTTACACGAGATGTTCACGTACAATTACTTTGTCAATTTTCCGACTAAAAAAAAAAAACGAATTATCACACGAAATGCAATATAACTGAGAATAAAAATTTAGAGACACTGAATCTACGAAAAATAATAAGAAAAGCTGCGTCTCTCGTTTCTCAATCAATTTCAGACCAGCGGTGAACTTTTGCGAATTCTAACATCTCCTGACTGACCGACATTAGAGTACTTCGTTTAAAACTTTGTTCGTTCTGGAAATGTCGAGAACGATACTGCCAGACGTTAAAAACGCCTGCGAGATCTGTCGATACATCGCTACGAGAAGTTTTACATCGCGCCGCTGGCTGTATATTTTTTTTCCCTTCTCTCCCGCTCTACGCTTCAGGTTCAGCATTCCCGATAACACTTTCAACGTTTGAAAGTCGATTACGAACTGCGTTACGTTCACGCTGGCGAGAACTTTAATTTCTCCTCGTTTCTGTTTGATACGAAAAACCCGACTCGATAACGTTGAACGATCGTGTCGTGACTGGCGTGAATAAACGCGGAACAGCGGCTGCTGTGTGAAAAGCACTGGTTGCGCGAACGATGCAGAAAAAGGGTTGGTCCCAAGAGAGAGCTTATTTACAAAATCCCCGAAAAAAACAACGTTATCTGCACGAACGGCGTCTGCACTCGACTATTTTTCATCGCCGCACGACGAGGAGCGTACTTTCCATACTACACGGGGATAAATTTAAATTCACCGCACTGAGAGAGAGAGCCGCTCTGAAAATAATTTCGCGTACTTCGATTTTTCCTTGCCCCAATTAACGCTGCAATTTGATGGATTGAAAATTTACTCTGCCGTTGTTTTCTCCTTTCTCATCTGTTTCTCTCTTTCTTTCTTTCTCTCGGTGTAACGTTATTATTAGCGTTCAATCCACGTGTAACAGCAGGAATTCCCTAACCTAGACCTAACCTAAAAAAAACAATTTTCATATCAGCACATTGCTTTATATACTTCTTCCCGTATTAAATACATTCGATAAATTTGCGTGCCCTTAAATTTCCCACATACGCATGAACAGGTGCAATCTATTAATAGATTTTGTTATTTAATTCGTCAAACATTTGCAAAATGATTCACAGAATTCTCATCGAACAAGAATCTCGGCGTGATTTACATTTCTCAGTTTCGAATCGCTAATTGATACTGTACATTATGCAGAGGATATCGTAAATAAAACGAAATCATGATAAAAATTACTTATTCATTGACTTCGGTTCGGCAGAAACATTTTCACTAATTAAAAATTCCATTACCACTCGAGGTAATTCAAGAGCGTCGTGCGACAATCGATCAGTCGATCGATCAACTGTACGAACGACGTGCAACATTTAAAATGTTTGAACACAACATGGATGACACGTTCGTAAAAATTTTCATATTTATTTCCTTCGTTAATCATTGAAGATTAAATTTACATTAAATTAAAAATTATCCGTCGCTACCTAGCTGTCTAATTATTGAACGAAGCCAATTTTCTAATTATTTCCATCGGCGCGCAAGCAAGAACCGATAGCGTTGCATACTTAATAATTGATTTGTCGACTGACTAGCTAATGCGTTTTAACGATCGAAAGTTTCAAGTTAACTGTAGCAAAGCCCGTGCAAGTCGTCACGTAAGTGTACGCACCGTTTCACTTTTGTGAAACGTAGCGAAACACATGAACGTTGCGATATTCTCGGGAAAAGGGGCTGTTATGGTACGTTATACCTAGCGAAACCAGCGTACGAAGATCAGTAGTAACGTTACTGATAAGTCAGACGACCGCAAAGCCCGCTCCTCCATTTGAGAAGCCCTATTACATACATGTACCAATTTAAATTCTTAACTTGTTAATTGGATTGTTTCTTAATGTGTTTGGTGTCATCATCATACGTATAGATTATGTTTAAAGATTACAAGGGAATGACACGAGAAATTAGATTTCTTACTTTTCAAAGGGAAGCGAGTTTAATCCTCATTTACTTACCTAGATGACTACAATGATAATTTTGTAGTGTATTCCATCAGAAGTTTAAGATTTTTAAATTCTTTTTCATATTTTATATTTTCCTCTGAATAGGAAATAATAATTCCAAAATTGTAATGCAATGTGAAACGTGATTTTTATGGTCAATAATGAATCAAAATTGTTTGGCATTTGGTTTTGGAGTTGAAAACACACGTTTCTTTCATTTCTTTCAAAATTTTAAATTTTGCTTTTTTGCTTGCATAAAGCTTTGTTAATGTATTAACTATTTCTAAGACTTGCTGTATTTGAATCTGAGGCATAGATTATTTGTCTGAAAAGGAAAAATATCGTTAATTATATTTGTTATAAAATATTTGTTTTGACAAATTCTGTGCGATTTGGAACAATAATTAAACCATAAAAAAAGACACACCTCGCAAAGGTATCTAGGAAAACAGCATATATTCTATTTATAAAGTAGGTGCATTGAAGAAGAATCTAGCGGTGTAAAGACACATTGGTCTGACAGCGTCATATAACGGCCAAGAAACCGGGTCGCGGAATAAAAAATATTCCACTTTCAAAAGTATTATAGACTGGTGGAACTAGAACAACAGCACACTTCCATGTGGTCCATGACATCGGCTAATTGATGCAAAAAAAAAAAAGAAAGTAAAGTAAAGAAAAGAAAATACCAAACGAGCTAAACAAACGTCTTGTTCGAACTTCATTCCAACTTTGTCTGAATTTCATTTGAATTACGAATTTGAACTTCCACTCGAGAATAATTCCTATTCTCAACATTTAAATTACAAAGATTCATATTATGTGTGACATAAAACGATGTTCTCGCTTATCATTACTCGCGTTTTTCAACAAAAATTTTTATCGCCAGATATATTTGTAAATCTTTATGGTTGCACAGAAATATGCATATGTTTTAATATATATTCACAGTCCGAGACGAAAGCGTATAGTCCCGAAAAATCGATGTGTAAATCTCGTCAACCGGACACGTTGTATAATTGCGTGCATCAAACCACATTTGTAAAGCCACGCGTATTCTCTGAAACATGGAGAAAGTAACAAATAAATAAATGTATAATTTAAAATGAAATAAATTTAGTACAATTTTATAGCACCCATGAAATATTAATTATCTCTCACGTCGCAGTACTCAATTGAATTATTTCTTACTCTTAAATTATTCAAATAAAAATTTAAAGGCAAGTGGCAAGCGTTTAAATAAAAACCACACGTTTTCCAATGGGAATCTACGTTATTCCATAGATAAATCACAGGACTGTGAACGCGTTAAAAAGATAAAGAATATTTCCTAGTATCTGATCGATTGGCACGCAAGCAAAGTTGCACGATAAGAGATACAAATATTTTTTCTTTTTTTTAACTCTCGCAAGCACGTGATAATTAAACATTCAGGATAATACTTAATTATCTGCAACCAGATTCGACACTTTACATTTGATTCGCTAAAAAATTTTGGTTTTAAAGTTAAAATGCCAGCTACAGCGAGCGTTCTCAAAGAATTCCCGATTCACCCAACGCGACCCCGGAAAGTGTGGCGAGCAAGCGTTTGAACAGAGGGTGTTGTATTTATCGTTGACGCGAGTCAGCGATTTTCGCGTCTTTGTTAGAAAACCGCGTCCCTCCGTAAAGTGCAACTGTCTGCAGGGCTTAGAGGTTTCGATTAAACAGTATATATTCTTTGGTCAGCCAGTTATCGGAACTTCTGTCACGCGTTCACGCTTTTTCTCTTTTCTTTCCCTCGGCTTTTTTGTGCATTTTCAGCTGCACAGGGGACCAGGCTTCCGTCAAATGTCCCTATCTAAACGTACACACGTTCGAACAAACAAAAATGCCAGCATTTTTCGAAGGTCTCGCTTTGATCTCGCCCCATTTCAAACTGTGTTCTTCTTCTCTTTATCTCGCGAACAGAGCAGGAAAGGAAAGAATGGAAGAAGAAGAAGAGAAAGAGAAAACAGGGAGAAAACAGAGAGAGACAGAGAGAAAGTAAAAAGACCAAAAATACAGGATTGTGAATGGCTTTTTGTTTTACAGACAGATTGCCTTTTAAAAGAAAAGCTTCGTCTCATTGGTCTTTTCTATTCTTCTCTCCCTTTCTCTCTCTCTCTCTCTCTCTCTCTCTCTCTCTCTCGCACCAGGCAATTAAATTTGCTAATTGGAAATCTTCCTCGTCGGAAATTCGTGCTGTCTGATCGATTTAAGCGCACGCAGTCGATTATCTTGCAAACTATTGAAGACAGATGCAACTTGAAAGAAATCGTACATTTTCGTTCGTTTTATTTCTGTCTGAAAATTAAAAAAAAAATATCTCCAATCAGCGTTAAAAGTTTTTGTCATCATCTCTTTGAATAATTTTTCAAACAGACTCAAAATGAAGGTAAGAAAGATTTTGACATACGTACATATGTATAGCTTTGAAACAGTTCAACCAAATAACCATAAATACAGAGATCTCAGATTAGAAAAATCTACACACGTGTGTACAATGTAAACGCCTATAATATTTCGTCTGGCTATAAAAGCGAAACGAGAAAACATGGCTAGTAAACCACGGTACAGTACCAAGGGAAACGTTCCAGGATTGGGAAGCTTATTGGCCTACTTTTCTCCCCGTGGTTCTTCGAAGTCGCATAAATTCTACCAATAAGCAAGAACACTAATGTAACACGCGAAAAAGAATTTTGATGAACTCTCAACAATTATTTTTCAATCAACGTTTTCGACAGTAGCATCGATAACAATACTGGGATCGAATGTTCGAGCTTGTGCTCAACTGTTCAATCACACCGGAATGGAATTAATTGCTCTCTGCACGTGCAATGAGCTTATACATGATAGGTGTACACGAATGGAACAGCAGAAAGCAGAGACAATTGTCGGAGAGCCAATACGGTCGAGTAATACGTCATGCCAACGATTTAGGTCGCGACTAGTAAACCTCATAACCGCGAAACAGTTCGACGAATTAATTAAAGTCTCATCTCGGAGGCGTGTTTGGAATGGTGTTAGAAGCGCGCTCGAAGTTGGAAACGTTCTCTGCGCTGGCAAAGTGAAAATATACACTCCCCTCGAAGAGATTGCACGTAATCTATCAAAGTCGAACCTTTCTTTTCTCTTTCTTTCCCTCTCTCTTGACGGAATATACCTGGACTTTATTTAATCGAAGTTGCGATAGGAAAGAACGCGTGGCGTGGGCGGAAGGCTAAGAGAGCCGGGGAGTTCTACTTTAAATCAGACCGTTTGTAAATCTCGAAGGAAGGCATGCAACGTAACCTTCTAATTCTGGTCGCAAAATGCACAATGCCAGCTTAAGCTAGCGTTAAACGAACACTTTGTTTCATACCGCGGACCGAAGAAAATTGGTCTATATATGTATTGGGAAAGAAAACTCTCGGCGTACGGCGAACAAAGAGAGAGTTCTCTGAATAGAAAAGCGGAAGAGCCTGTCAGAGGAATTACGTTCAATACGACAGAACTACTCTTGTCGTCGTTTTCTCTTCTCTTTTTTCTTTTCTTTTTTTTTTTTTTTTTTNTTTTTTTTGTTTTTCGTCGTTGAGGATGGAAAAAAAAAGAGAGAGAGAGAGAGAGAAAAGGTGAACTCCAGTGAAATATCGCGATCGACGTCGCCGTAGCAAAGCAGGGCAACTTCACTGCGTGTCTAAGGATCGAACAAGTACGGCATCACGGTCATTAAAGTAGAGACCTCCGGCTAAATTCTGTTCGATTTCGTCTCGTCCGGAGGGAAATTTCGCTTGCACGCGAAATTCTAAATTAGTTAACGTACGATGAGTGCACTCGTCGAGTGCATTGAAATCGGCGAATCGATCACGAACAGTGGGGTTTTTCTCTTTGTCGTTGAAATATCAAACGAAGAACGGTCCTCCGTTGCATGTCCTAAGTGAAAGAGAGAATTTTTTTTTACCTCGCTGCTCTCGCTATCAATCCAATTCTTCCCTTATCGCGTTCCTTTTTCAACCTTTATCACCAACCGGTCGTTGATCATTTCCCCTGAAACCGTGCCGCCTTGATTCTTATCCGGGAGAAGACTCAAGGAAATTCTGCTGATAGTAAATCTCGGTGATTATCAAGGTTTCGTGGTCACTGGAAAAAATTTTGCGGCTGCTTGTAACATCGTAATCTTTAACGAAGAAAAATATCTACATAAAGTCTTTATACCTCTTAACATTCAAACGCTGGATTTAACTTTCAGAACTGTGAGCATCTTAATCTTCCCTTGTCATCAAATGTTATTAGATTTTTATCAAACAATAAAATGTTCAAACAAACACCGCTCTCAGTTCTTATTAAAAAGAATTGTTATGAAAACATTATCTGAAACATTAAATATCGCTGATGAAACAGATTTCTTTTTCTCAATAAGTTAACATTGAGCATTCATACATCCAAGAAATTTTTAATCGCAGCTAGAGTGTTTACGTCTCTTTTGTCTCATTTGCCAAATGTATTGTGATCTCATTATTATTTATCCGTGGTCCCAAAATTTATTCAAAGTATTAAATACTATTGAAACCTGCAATAGTAATTCGAAGAAGTTCGTTCGAAAGACGAAGGATCCTGAAATTACAGATAGCGAATAGTTCAATCTTAATTAAAGATCTTTCTTAACTTTCGCTGAGAATTGCTCGAACAACAGTCAAACATTCTTACATTCTCAACTCCCACGAACATCAAAAATCATTTACAATATCCAGCTCTTGTCTCTCTTTCTGCGAGAAGAAGCTTTCTTTGGTGAAAAGCGAGAATTAGTCTCGCAGAGACACGACTCTTTTTCTTTTGAATTAAAAAAGAGCAGCGTACAGCAGGCCGTTGTTTCCAGACAAAAAGAGTCCCGAGAGAGATTAATCGGAGAGAATTAGACGTTGCACGTTCGAGTCGAGAAAAAGGGGGATGAGAAACAGAGGGGTCGACGTTGCTTACGATTTCAGGATTTGTTACATTTTTCACGATACGACGATAGAATCGTATCGATTCGAACCGTGTGCTTGTACGCCTTCAAGTATTATTCGTAATTTACCGTCGGGAAGCTTTCTTTCAAGGTGTATCTGTATCGAGCGTTCTGTATCGTATCGGTACATCCGTCGGCTATTTCGTTGAAACGATTCCGCGGCGTGCGATTGATCGACGTCGACGGCAATCCTGAATGCATTGCCCCCAAAAGATCCTCCAGTGGTTCTTACTTTTGCAATGCAAGTGCATGCTTCGGCTCTGTGCGAGCAAGGTCGAGAGGCGACGTGCCCCGCTGACTATGAATCCCGATTTTACGAATTCGTCACGAGCTTAGACAGCCTGCTGGGATCGTTCAAATGTTTAAGGAGAGCGCCTTTGAGCATCTCGACGGCGAACGTATTTACTTGAACGATCGCTGAATTCCGCGCGACGCGAAAATGAACGCCAGTTTGTGCTTCACTGCACCTCCGAAAATGCGGACTTCGCTTTGAATATCGCAATCGTGATTCGAGATCGCGGATCGTGTATTTGAACTACCCTTCCGTTTGGTGAAAATGTTGAAAATGTCAAGTCGCAGTGGGGAAAAGTTGGATACAATATTGGAAACTACATTATTGGAAAACTGAATTTCCCTCTTACTGCGAGTTCCTTTAAAACTGCACGTTCTCTGTTTGTTTTGCTCTTGAAAAACATACGTGAATTTCATTCTGGTTACGCAGCAGCGATAAAAGGAAGAGGAGAGTGTATACACGTATTTGAGAACTTGAATTTTTTTTCCTTTAAATCGTACGGCAGTGACAATTTTTATAACAACTTCGATAACAATTTATTCTATGTTTTCGATTGACGAATGAATTATATGTCATAGAGGAAAACTTTTCATTTCACGAATATTACGTGTTCTTTGTCGATGTATAATGTTCCATCTACTGCGTGCGGTGATAGCTCGCATTTGAACGAAAATTTTTTTGAATGCAAGTCGAGGGAACAGCGAGTAAATGCGAGCCGTGCGTTTGCTCGGAGAAACAGGGAAATTGCAGCAATTGGAAAAAAATGTTTCGCAGATAAATGCAGAAAATACACGGAACAACGTGAAGTATACGAAGTACGTCAGACGAAATGAAACTAGCTTGAACAATATGCACACCTATTGACCCGAAAGAACGGTCCTCTCAACCAACTAGCGATTCATCGATTGTTGTTTTGTAGATATAATTTAATCCAATTTAGTTGCCATCCGCTTCAGCGAAAGCTGCAGAGCCAACGGTCATAACTTCGCCTTCTGCGTTTTATTGTTGTGCATTACCAAGCAGCATATCGAGCTATATTTCATGGGTTTCAAATTGAATAACTCGCGTGATTTTCTCTGTATGCCCAACTGAAATAAACGAAAAAATTACAACGACAAAAGCAGCATCGCCGTTTAATTTTTAAAACTTAACTACGACGCACGATTTAGGTTGTTTCCCAATCAGATTTACTTACGGGAGAAAATTTTACATGAACACGTTCTCAAAGTCAATGTCACAGTCCTCTTGAAAAAGGTTGGAAAATCCCATGTGACGTGAATCATCATGTCTAAAATATTAGAATATTAAAATAAATTTACATTTAAATTTCCTACCCTCTTCCTTTTTTTTCCCCCAGATATATAATAAAGAAAGCAAGGAGGCATATTACGCTCCAGTTTTCTTTTTCGCGGAACGCTATATTAAGGACTATGATTCGAGCGATTTTAAACAGCAGGCAACGTCTCGCATTACCAAATAATTATGCTTTTGCGTCACGAGAACTCATTTCTAACACGTGAGTGATGCTCGACATTGATATGCGTAGGGTTCATTTGCTTCTGCAAAACACTAAAAATATACGCGATGTGTGATAACGCTTGAAGTGTAGCCAAGTTGCATTACAAGTTATGCAGGACGCATTAATGTTTGAACGTGCATCGTACGAATTCGCATATTTATCCTTGGGACTAGTGAAAATTTATCTGATAAAAAATGCATTTTCTACGTGCCGGGGATGTACTTGACATTCAAAGTTAAAGAAACGTTTAATGGACATTTGAAATAGCATTCCCTTTTATTCGTAACTTCGTCGAAACTGTACGCTTACGTTCATTCATAAATGAAAATAGATAGGATGAAATGCGTTGAAACTAAAGACAAAAATGCGAACATAAATTCGTGAAACGATGAAGTTGAACTGGCGATATTGAGAATTTTACAGCGGCGACGCTTGTATCAGAAACCATTTTAGAAATCAAAATTCTACAAATTTCATAAATTTCATGAATAAAACACGAAACAGGATATATCTAATAAAACACACGAAACTGAATAAAATAACATTTCAATCAGTCATCAGTTCAATCTTTCCCTCTTGTATTCTAATTTTAACCCTTTACACGATTAATCTATTTAACTGTTTATTCTTTATGATGCACATTCTACAATGGGAATCGTTACGAGTATGAAAAATGGCAAGGAGGGGAACGAAGTTAAAATTCAACAATTTGCAACTTGTCGGGATGTCGCGACTATTTTGTAAATGACTGTCGCTCCGCGATACGTGCCAGATGGTGCACAATAGAGACAGGAAACGAGATTCAGAATACACTCGAATACTAGCCGAACTGAAGATGCAAATGAATTTGAGGCACGATTCTGTAACATCGCCGACATGAATCCTATCTATCGATTTGCGATCGTGAGTCACAGACTTGCTTCGATGCATGGGTACAATTGAAACTAAAGAGCGTCCGATTCGATTAACCTTTCGGTTAGACTTTCAAACCGTTCCGTGCATCAAAACATTGAAACCCGAACCTTCCGTTTGCTTCTCTTTTTTCTGCGAGACCTAACGATCATTTCTCTTTCTTTGTTTCTTTCTTGCTCTCTCTTTCTTTCACGAGTTACAACCTACGGTTTAGGGAACACAAGTTCATTTAAAAGAAAATTGAAAAGATTCAACGATGTAGATTAAAATGCAGATTGAGAAGAGTGTAAGAAGCAAACTGATAACTTGAATTGTAAATTGCTTAGTTACTTACGGTAACATCCAAATGATATTGTAATATGCATCGAGTAATCGTTACGAGCCGACGAACAAATTCATGAATATTTCTAAGGCGATTACCGTACGAGACTTCATAAAAACGAGATATTCATTTCATAAAGATAATGGAGGAAATGAAGTTTTGCCACTGCGTGTGCGATTCAAATAGTCTGAAATGAATAACTTGTGCACATTATAATAAACTTAAATAAATTTTACATAGATATTATATCCTCAACATTCAAACAGTTTATTCTGATAACCAAAATATGATCTTTAATAATAATTAATTGCGGAATTATCGACCATTTTATTCGAAGGAATATAACGTACTTTTTTTACGATTTTTTTCCATTTTTAAATGAAACTAGCAATGGCTTCCAGATCACCTATATTAACATTATAATATTTAATAAATTGCTCAGAAGCCACATTCACATTGATCAACTACATAAATTGAGACACAAAGAAATATCAAATATTACTTTTCGAAATTATCCCAGCGACAGTAAATTCTTCCCTTTTTAAAATGAGTATTTATTTGTGAATTTCATCATGCGAAGGTAGAGTTTGGTAACGACTTGTTAAAATGATAACCTTACCTAGATAATAACTTTGAAATTTCTAGGTCCCTGAGCATAGGAGGGAAACAAGTAGAAACGATCGAACGTGCACGGGACGGGACGGCCTGTGCTTACAGCGCTTATCACAGCACAAAAGGCATAACGGCAAGCGCTCGTGGCCATCGTGAAGAATTACCGATAGCGATGCGTGTCTTTGGCTCCGGCTACCTGACTACTTGCCTGCAGATCAAATACTACCGCCAAGACGACCAGAGCCACTGTGAATGGGGCGCCAGGTTGCATTGCATCGAGCTGGACTGCTCAAGCGTGGAGGGCCGGTTGGTTACGGTAGACCGGGAAACATATAGGAAACTCGGCATAGAATCCTAGCAGTCGGTGGGTGTTAATGTTATGAAAGCCATCACGTAACGAAAACGGCTGACGATTGTTTCTTACTGCGCGTGAAACATGATTCTTGCCGATTGTGATTGGCTTGTTGTCGATTGATACGAAGTTAACCGCCGCTGGTTGACCAATGGGAAGCCGGGACTCCGCGTGGCGGGTTTTTCTTTCGATTTGAACGACACGGTTTGAAATTTGAATTGCGACGTGCACGTTGAGCTTTTATCGTGGCTTCGACGTGCATGAACATTCTCGGCAATTTCTATGGAAATATTGACCAGTGTAAAAGAAATGAAAAGTCGTTTTTCTATGCGATATCGATCAGGTTTTCCAACAAGGAAACTATAACGAAATACCTCCTAACGAGGAAAAAAAGCATTGTAACGATTCCTTTAAGTCCCTTAACGATTTATAGATACATATGTAATCGAACGGTGGATCCGTTTCTTTAATGTAATTCAAATGTAATCTCATCCTCCTATTTTTCTATAACGAGAAACGAATTTGTATATACGTACATATGTATATCGGGAGCATAAATGTGTACATGATTGTCATAATGTAGGAAATAGAACATAACGTACCTTGTTTTATAATTTAAATAAAAAACGGTGTATTTTGAGATTATATTTATATGTTATATATTAAGGAACACAGTTCTTTTGACGAATCATTTTGTAATAGATTGGGAAAATATTTATTTAATATACTTAAGAAATACAAATATTATCGACAGTCTAAAAATGTTATCGAAACGAAATTTCGCAATATTTTTACGAAACCTTGCAAATTAAAGTGGATAAATTTGAAGGCTCCCACAACTATGCTCCCACATTACAAGTAATACAAAATATTACACATGCAAATAATACAAAATATTGTTAATGTAGATAGTATACATATTAATACATAAAAAAAGAAATGGAAATATGTTAATATTTACAATAATAAAATTGCAAATGATAAACTGTTCGAATACAAATTCGTTTACAATACATTATTTAAATTGTATAAAAAAAAAAAAAATGCGCAGACCAAACAAAAATATACTGTTATACTGTTACTAATATAATGAAAGTTTAACATAAATTCTGAAGTATATCATTGATTGATTATAAACTGTTTCGAAGATATTAACTTTTTTTCATTTGTCAGCTACATTTCATAAAAAAATTTTATGCAATTTAATGTGCTTGTACACGAAATTTATTTAAAACAGCACGTAATCGTTATTACCGTGCCATTTAAGGCATGTTAAACTATTGACATTATTGTATAATTACCGTCACAATTATTGTACTTATATATGCCTATTGTGTTCCACGAATTTCATAACATTTCATTTTTAAGAAACTTAAGACATGTTTCCAGTATAAAATCAAGAAAATTTAGAGAAGTCATGAAAAATATATTTTTTCACAGTCGTGTAATTTTATCACAATTGTTATTCTTTGCAGTTTACATAATTTTGTTACTGACGTGTAATTTTCACTTTAATTCTATGAATTGTCGTTTACGTGATAATTACATTGCTTAAACTTTCGCACAATAAATCTGCAATCAGAAGACAAATGAATGAAATCACTAATCATAAATAATAATTTACAAATGGATATATATCTTAATATACAATTATATACACATTGCATGGCCATATAGATACACAAATGAACATTGTAAATTATAAATTCTCAACGAACCATGATTTTATCACTTATACTTTCTTAATTATATTCATTGAAAATTTGGGAAATCAGCGAAAGTGACCAAACAGTGCCTCTATGCTTTTTGTAAATGTAAGCACAGATTGTTCCTATTCTTCATTCACATGATTAATTGTTTATTTCTACTGTTCTCATTCACATTGTTAATTGTTTAATTGATACTGAGATCTGTACATTTTTAAACCAAAATAAATTTAATCCTTTAATTGATTTAATACTGTTTACATAATAATTATAAAATACATTGACGAACATATGTCGCAAATTGTTGTACACATATTTGTTAACTTTAAATAATTATTAATAACAGTAAAATTTACTGCTGCTACATATAAGCAATCCATATTTTCTTATTAAAATCTATAATTGTACATAAATTTTAAAATGTGGGCGGTTGATAATTTAACAAAAGACTAGCTAAAACTTTATCAAATATCTTTTCTAATTGGGTTCTCATTCGTATTGCTAATTTGTTTGACTGTTTCAAATACATAGCAGAATGATGTAATGCAATTGTATAAGGAATAGGACACCAGCTTTGTTTAATAATTCCCCTAATGAGCACTGTCATATAACTTTCTATTAAAGATATATCTTCCTCAGGGGGATAAAGATATTCTTTTAATGGAATAACTAATTGTTCTAATGGTAATTTAACATATCGAAGCAAACCTACATGTTCCGACCACAACAATTTTCTATAATGAACATTGTGCCTTTGTGCAATTGGTACCAATAGGGTCATTGAAAAACCATAATCACCATAGGATGTTGAACAAAAATGTTCGCACATCGCAGTAAACAAATCAGTAAAAGAATTGAGTCCCGGCAAATTTATTGTAAAATTAAGCTTCTTGTAATTATTTTTTAATAAAGTTGTCATCGCTTTAGTAAGCAAAGCAGAAACATCGTTACTTAAATACAACGTCTCGCACAGGTATATAAGTACCAATCTACTAAATCTCAAGTTTTGTGATAATTTTTCAACCAAGTCTGGTAGTACTACTTCTAAACTCAGTACGGCTAAGATGGCAGCTTTATCATCATCATTACACATTTTATTATTTCTACATTTTGTATAAATATGTACGACGGGTAAATAAAGCCAATCTTTAGGCATTGCCGCTTGATCCCATGTTCCATTTAATGCTATATATCGTTCATACAAATTAGATACGTTGCGACTTAAGTTCAATTTAATATTTTCGATATTTGAGTTCAAATTTAACGTTTCTAATTCACTCGTTACTATTTCTAAATTTAATTTCTCTTCTGCCAATGAAATCCTGAGCATCTTTTTTACATCAGAAGGGCAATCGGCAGGTAAAGACGATACAAGTTTGATGGCAATTTTCCAAATAATATGCATTGTCTTATTATCTAATTTATCTTTCACAAGAGAAGATGCATTTACTATAGCAACTAAAAAAGATAATTCAGATCTTGTATACCATGACTTTTCTAAGCACCAATCTGTTGTTACTAGTCTCTTTAAATACTTATAAACTTGTGGAAGATTAAGCACTGCCTGAAGCTCTTCTACGAAAGAATGGTCAATAAATACATTTAAAATCGTTGCAAGAAATGGCATACAAGATTGTTGAGACACAATAGGTTGCACTTGTCCGTTATACATTAATACTCCTAGATGAGGCAACGCAGAAGGCTCGCGTTCAAGAGCTAAAGAACAGTCACTTAGCAAATTTGACGTAGAACTGTAAAAATTAAAGTATTAAGAATTATTATAATTAGATTTTAATGTAATATAATTTTTAAAATGTTTAGCTTCTACTTACTTAAGATTAGAAAATACTTGTGATCGAGATATGTTCAATGTTTTTGTCGCATTATCACTAACCGCTAGTAATGTTTCGGCGATAAGTTTCGTTTTACTCCACTATGAAAACAATTTTTTATGTATATAATATATAATTATTTTATATACATATATCATATATTAAAAATATATGTATATTTTTCGTATATTTGTAATATAAAATACTTCGACTTTACATACCGTGACATTATTTAAAGATAATAATTGTGTATTCCATTTGGATAGTAAAATCGATATATTTGCTTTTAGAGGTGTCAGACAACTTGCAACAGCAATTAAAGCTGCTGCATATTCACAGGAGAGTTCAGATGCGTTTTGAATATCGTGATTACTTAACAGAAGTTGTAACTGTGACACAAGAAATAATTGTGCTCCTGTTAAACTATCCATTGCATCTTCATACAATAGTAATGTTCTCCATAATCGTAAATTTTCGATAATAAGATTATAACTTGATTTCCTATTAAAAAATTAATATATATATATATATGTAATATAAAAAATATATATATATATATATTATGATTTCCTATTAAAAAATTATTTATATGTATTCAAAAAATATTTACGTTAAATTATAATAAAAAATTACCCTGCATCGCAACTGCCGTAAGATATAATACGCTGCATAATTTTAAGATTATTTAATTTTTGAGCAACAGGTTTTCCTCCATAACAAAGTAGTATACGACAAAATCTGATTGCAGCTACCACTGGAACTCCATAAACATTATTTATAGTATCTGTCATTGCTGTAAGTATAAAAGATGTATTAATTTAATATCATTATATTTAAATATAAGATATTTCATGATAGTGAAATCAAATATATAAACCTAATGCATCCGTAGACAATGGCATAAAATGTTCAATTATAGTCTTCAATAAATTTGGTGTATTTGTTATTTTTACAACGGTAATAGGCGAATGTCTTACAAGTCTAATTAAAATCTCCAATGCACAAGTCACAGCAACAGGCGGTGGTCGTATTTTACTCAAAATATAGCTATAATTTTAATTGGATTTTAAATTAAATTTTTCACAGCATTTTTAAATTTATTAAAAATTCATTAACAGTATATACCTGATCCTTAACAGTATATCAGTTCTTAATAGGGCAGCAACCGCATCTAATTGCGCTAGTTCATGATCTTTTAAATCATTTATATCATCAACATCAGTTTTTGGTGTTGCTAAAACAGGTTCTTTATAATTTTGAAAACCATATAGTCTATCCAAACAGACTTCATCCGCTTCGCTATATAAGAAAATTCTAAGCGCTTGTAAAGTTGCTGTAATCACAGCCGCTGATGTATCATCCAAAGAAAATCTTAATAATATTAAAAAATTTATCTGACTTAATGCAACCAAAGGTGCAGGTTGTAACACTTTATCATACCAGCCGTTGCGACTTTTTTCTAATATATTTGCTAATGTTGTAAGAGCTGTACAGCGTTGCTGTTGTACTGATGAACGACTAAGTTGTAGTAATTCTTGTAGAGAATAACCAGGACGATCAGGTTCTTCTCCATGATGATGAAGCCCTTTTTCAATAGGTACATTATTATCTTTATATGGTAATAATACACCTATTAAAAAAAGATCATATTTAAATGTGTTCTATTGCATATTGTGCATTGATATTTGAAAATTTACCATTAAAGTCAAAACGAGCACTGTATGGCTCATTTAGAACAGGTTCATCTTTGTTTTCTGGAGGTATATTTTCCATCCATTTAAATTTTTCAACTTCAAGAGAATCCATATGCATCCAACCTTTCTCTTTAGCTTGTTCCATTAATTCTTTGGGAGGTTTGGGTATATCTGTTTCTACTGTATCTTGCATTGGTGAAACATCATTATTTTTGAGTGAATCTTTATCACATTTGTTAGAAACATCTTCAGTAATTAAGTTTTCTACGTTTGTAGAGTTTACATTTTGATCTTGTTTCTCAGTATTTAATCTTTTATCTTCAAGACTCTTATTTGTATTTTGTTTCTTATTTCTTCTATCTTTTAAAAATTGTATTAGTTCTGGCTTTAAAGTCATCTCAAGTTCACTTTTTTCTTTAAGAATATCTTCCTGACTCATCCGTTCCAAATTTTCTTTATGTATTTCATTAGCCGAAGGTCCTTCTACGATAACACTATCAGTGTTACACAAAGGTCCAAAGCTCAGAGATTTTTCTATTTTGCTATTACTTTCAATAGAAATTTCTTGCATAAATAAACTTTCATTTTTATCATTTTTCTGAAAAAGTAACAAAAACATTTAGATACTTAATGTATTTTAGAATATTTCCATTACATCTTTCATTACATTATAAGATATGTAAATACCATATGTTTAGAAACAAATACTTCAGGGAAACCAGTATTAGAACAAATAAATTTCTTTTTATGAAATTCATAGTTGTATGCATCATGTTTCTTCTCAATGATGTTTCCTAATATTATCTTTGAGGGTGCTATTTCTATATTTTGAACAGAATCCTTTATTCCAAAGTTGAGATTTTTTTCAACTTCTTTTATTGCAGGATTTATAACATCACCGCTAGTTTGAGAAGTAGAAACCCTCTCTTGAGTTTTCAATTTTCTTAACTCAGAAAATCTTGACCTAACTCTGTTAGAACTTGTTTGGCTGTTGGTAGAAGCAGCATTCAAAGATTTTTCAGATTCTTTCAAATTAGTTAATTTGATCACTTTAGTTGACGGTTGCTGTTTATTTTTTAGAAATTCTTCTTGCATACGAAATAATTCTTCTTCACTATCAGTTGGTTTAGGTCGTTTTAAAACTGGACTTCGATCCATTGTTTTAAAATTTATTTTCAAACTTTAAAAATTACTGTATTAAATTGCGTTATCGTTATCAAATGTTTACATATGTATGTCTACTAATATTTTTTGTACGCCACAATCGTAATACATAATGTGTATATAATTTCGTTCTCTCTTTTAGCGTGAAATTCCAAATCGATATTTTTTAAAATAACAAATCTTTTACATAGTTAGATAACCCAACTTATATACATGACACACGATCAACAAATGTTCACAGAAAACAGAATGATCCGATAGAGAAGATACTATTGGTTAACACATAATGTCTCGAATTTAAGCATGCACCGTGTGGATCACTCCTAGGATAGGTAACGGCACTAATTTATATTGTTATCCTTATCGCACGCTGCTGCTCTCTTTGTCTAGAGTCCAAATATGTCTGTCCCTGTCGCACGTTTTTGCTCTTCTTGTCTAATAATGCTAGACAAGGAAAGCGACAGTGTGTAAGAAGGACATCCTTTGATCTACAAAAAAAAAATTCAACTTTTTACACACAGGTTTTTCCAAGAAAAAAAGAAAAAAATTCTGTTTTTAATACTTCTGAGTTACCAATAGATAGCGCCACAGTCACCTATAATGTAGCGATTATAAAGGTAATTTCAATACTACCAAATAATAAGAACTTCGTCACTTGAGTAACTTTTAATAAAAATTATTACAAAGCAAAAATGGATACTTGTTTCTATAAATGATAATCAAGGAATGTATATTTAATTCTAACGTATAGTCTATTTATACATCTCTATAAAAAAGTAAACATGATTATAACCTTCATGGTGATAATAAAAAAGACTATTGGTTTACAATATTTAAATGTTTTATGTCAATCTACCGGAAACGTACTCTTTGACCGGACGATTGTGTAGCTGATGTTGATATTAATTTTGGAGGTGTAACAGTACAAAATGGACATGGTGGTTACTACAATAAACTGACAGGTGACAGATTTTTCACAAATTACGAAAAGACATGAATTACGAGGAATCACTTGTGAACTATTATGGTTGCGCCTTTGATTGTAGAGACCCTAAGCTTGCGTTTTATGTTTTGTTTATGTATAGTTTACGTATATAAAGAATGTTTCTATTTCGTTTACGTTAGTAGTAATACCAGTAGTGAGTGCATAATTTTGCGCAAAATATAGTGAATATTAGATTCAAATTTGTTTGCGAACGTAACTGATAGCATTATCTTTGAAATATGTGCGCGGGAATGCAAATTAATAACGTGAAAGATTAAAATTAATTACCCTTACATGGTATAGAGAGTTTAGTTCCACCGGTCTGCCACAACGCGGCGCTAGTGTTTCTTATCCCGTAAAACAAAAATTATGAAATTTTCATTTGCGAAAAAACCTAATTTAGCGAAATGAATTGTGAACTTTGGCGATTGTATTATCCTAATTAGACTTTTAGCTTTCTTTTCATACCTCATTAGACCCGTAAAATGCAGAAACAAGTATTTTTATAAATAATTAGTACCACTGGGTTACCGCTAGATGGTGCCACCATGTCCATTTTGTGACAGTTCGCACTAATTACGAAAAAAACCTAATTAAGAGGAATAATTTGCGAACTTTTTTATATGCCTCCTTAAAATTAGGCTCCCTGTTTTCTTTCTATGTATGTTTTGTCTTGGAAAAACCTGTGTGTAAAAAGTTGAATTTTTTTTTCAATAGATCGAAGGATGTCCTTCTCGTACACTGTTACTTTCCTTGTCTAGCATCATTAGACAAAGAGAGCAACAGCGTGCGAAAGGGACAGATATACGTGTGCGGTAGACAAGGATATTTAATTTTATACAAAATATAAAAATAATAATATATCAAATTTTACAATTTGTTTTGCTTTGGGTATTACGAGAGAAATGGTTGTAATTATAGAAGATGAGAAACTAATTTTTTTTATAGAAAGAATCATTTATGGTGATTGCTATTTTATGTCTAAACGAGTTCAAATATGTTTCATTGTGTTTGTGGTTAAATGTCAAAACTTCGGAAACGTATAGAAGATAAAAATAACGATAAACTAACAAAAGGAAAAAAGTTCTTTAAAGATTTACTCTATTTCAGAGAAAACTTTTTTCTTCATTTGTCATCAATCGCTTCCGAAGTTTTGACATTTAAGTTCGAGACACCCTGTAGTACTTGTAATGTAAAATAAACCTTATAACTATTATTAAAATCATAGAAACTTTATTCTAAAAATTTCTTAATACTAAACATCTGATACTGCATGTGTATATCTATTCTCTTCTTCTATTTTCGTATGAAGACATAACACATGTATGTATATTTTATGATTGGTGAGTATGTAGGAGCAGGATATTATTACAGAAAATGAGTAATACCTAAAGAATATGTAAATGACTAAAGAGAAATGCTTAAATGTTAATATATATATATATATATAGATATATTGTTATTATTAATATTTCGATCATAGTACAAAGTTTTTGAACACAAAAAATTCAAATAATTCTCTGTAGATATATTAAAAATTGTGTTAAGTTGTTTTTTTAGGGTGTTAAAAATAAATTTGTATTCCTTTTTCAATTCGTTTGTAAATAGCGTTATAACTTTGCTCAAAAAAATGCATTTTATACTTTCGTTTATATTAACTCATTGACCTATCACGATGAAATTAATCTTATTTTTATAATTATTATGTATTTATATCGACTGTAGTAAATTACATTCTTTATTCCTAAAATGATGATAAGCCAGCGAGTTAGTAAAAATATAAAAATAAAACTTACAAACGAATCAATGAAAAAATTTCAAGCTTAATATTATAGTGTAAGAATCTCAGATGCTCGAGACTCTAACAAACGTTCCATTGAATTAACGTCTTTACACCATCCATCGAGTCGTTGAACCATACCAGCTATTTGTGTACGATCTAATACACGCGGCTGTACCCATGTCATGTTAACTGTTCCTGCTACTTGATCAATAGCACCACGAACTAAACCTTGAGCCAAAGCTTTCATTACTAATAATTCTACTTCACCTAGAGGCAAACGAGTTTCTTGAGAAATTTCTGCAAATGTCAGTTGCCTATAATAAACAAAAGAAATTTACTCAATATATATTGTTTTACATTGTTTAATTCACAATAAAAAAATATACAAACCTGTTGTTAGCTTGCCTTTTAAAGGTCATTTCCATAAGGCACAGAAGAGATATTTTTTGTCTCAACTTTAATTCCTGTGCAGCCAAATCAGCAACTTTGCTCCATTGTGGTTTTAATTTTTCAAGCGCAACTATGTCACCAGCATTGAAAGCTTGTAATAAATCAACTAACCAAGAGTTTGGAGTACCTTTCAAGGATTGTAAAACTGGATGAGCCAATAATTCTCCAAGATTATAGACTCCTTCACCCAAAAGTGCAGCTAATCCAAGGAAAAATGCATGCTGCTCTTGCTCTTGCCTACTTATATTATTTAAATCGATACAACCTAAATATCTGCAATGTAAAACCACTTCAAATAATATATGATAAAAGTCATGATAAAAGCGCCCATTATTTAAAATTTGTAAATATAATAATACCTTAAAGCAGTACGATAATATTCAGCATGTTTCCCTTGAAGACGATAAAGGCGACTGGCTAATAAATAAAATCTACCATGAACTGTTGTAATACCATCAGCATTATCCAACATAGTCTCCACTTCCTCTATAATTTGTTTTGCTTGCTCCTGGTTGTTTAATTTCTCAAGTAAAATCTGTCCAGTGAGAACTTTACACAAAGCGACTGCTTCATTGCTGCTTTTAATTTTAGACTCTGTTTTCTCTAAGAATTTAATTGCTTCTTGCTTGTCTTGAAATTGTTGTATTACATAGGCCAATATTTCCACCAATGACAAAGGATTTATCCTAAACATGAAAATGGACAGATAACATAAACGCAACCATAGAATGATGATTTACTATTATGGGTAGAGTGAAATAAGTAAGGTTATAAATTGATATTTCGAAAAATCTGTATATGATGTATTTACTTGTTTTCGAAGGTGGATAAGAAGTTGACGTACAACTGTACCAACTTATCTTCTTTCTGAAGCGCTGGATGCTTCACAAATGTTTCTAATTTAAGTGTCAGCTGATGCCAAAGCCTGCAAGTCACCAGACGATGAGATTCAGAGAAACTTTTTTTTATTGGAATACACGCCTAATATGAACTATTTTACAAAAAAGAAATACCTTTTATTGTATAATTCTTCCAGTTGTGCCCACTCTGCAGCCAATTCTTTGTCTGCAACATTTTGATTTTGACTTAAATATGTATTAACATCTTTCGGTGCCACGGCTGCCGCCATCTTTAATAACAATGACCAAAGCCGAATCAGCGTAATGAATTAGGTGGTGTAGCATCACCAATAGTCTAGGAAAAAATAGCATAACATTTTATATAATATTTTACTAAAATTCATTTTAGCAAAAGAAATTAAAACGAATAAGACACATGTATCTTTCACTTTGAAGAAATACAAAAAATGCCAAATGTATTTTACTTTTTGTCAAAAATTTGGATTTATATAAATTGTTTATTCAAATTCTATGCGAATGTACAATATTATTTATAACTGCATCGTTTACATTAACGATCGATCTAGAATTTTCATTTTCAATATACGAGAATATAAGAACAAATTGTATCGAAAGTTTGTGCATCGATGCATACAACCTTTAAATTTGTAATTTATTCGAATAAGATGTAAAAAAATGATCGAACAATTGATGAAATATAACGTATAACGTTAAATAAATAGCAATAATTTGAATTACTCAATTATACAAATTAGAGCGAAATGTAATTTCTTTTTTAAATGAAAATTTTTTTAGATTCGTTCGATACACGTTCGATAGAGAATTCGAGAATCGTACCTCTCGAAGAGTGTGAGTCAAAATAAAGGGCAATGTATTACGTGTATAGTGTTAACCAAGTAGTGCTCAGTTGTAAATTGTAAATATAGCTATGCGGGAATATCTGCATGGCAAATTATATTTAAACAGTTGTCTGTCGACGGAAATATGATTCGCAATTCATTTGCATTATCGAATCTGGATGTTTATCAAAAAGTTTATAGTTTTGAATCGATAATTTTATAGTCTAAAGATAGTTAGGGTTAAATAAATTTACGTACATATGTAGGTTACGAAAACAGTAGTTAATAACAATTGTATATAACTATTTAAAATGTTAAGTATTCACAAGATTTTAACGGTGATTACTCTGATGTTATTTAATCCTCATCAAGCTATCTCTTCTCAGAGTCTAGCATTTTCTTCTATTGTTATTGAAGCAAACTATACAATAGAGTATCAGTACACCATAAACAGTACTGTTGAATATGTGTTCTTATACCCTGTTAGTAATGTAAGTATAAGAATTTTATACAATAGCTAATATCATGTTTTATCATAATATTTTTTTTAATATGTTATTTATCCTTAGGTAACAGCAAGAATAGAAGTCGAAAGCAATGCTATCATTGATCTACCTCTTATTGTAGTTGTTCGTCAAAAGAGAGAAATCTTATCATGGCAAATCCCCCTTGTAGTGAATAGTATATATTTTGATGATTTAGTATATAATAAAACAAGTCAAACTTTATGTTCGATCAATTACAATCAAAGTGGGCTAGAAGAGGAAAAAGAATTCATCACCGTTACTTTATCCACTGCTAATTGTGAAAATATTTTATTTAAACTTAACATGACAAAACAATATGATTTTTATATAAGGTATATTATACAGATTAATTATATATTATTACATTTGGAATTTCATTGGTATTTTACTCTCTGTTTTCATTCTTCTTCAGCCCAGGAGGAAAAAGGAATGTACAAATTTCACCATCTCAACCTATTTATTATGGTTATACTTTCCCAGGGCAAACGGAAAGTTCTTCTGTGATTGTCCATGTTCAATCTGATAGTGATATTTGTATGACATTTTCAATACAAAATACAACAGTAAGTATGAATTCCTACAATTTTTGGAATTGTATTAATCTTAGTTTGTATTTTCTATTTCAGTGCCCTGTGTTTGATTTAGAGAGGAATATTCAATTTTCTGGTTACTGGCAAACTGTAAACCAACAGGGTGGTATAACTGTGCCAGTAAATATTTTTCTTGTTAAAATATATATATTTTTTTAATATATTTTTCATAATAATGGAATAAAAAGAGCTAATTAATGTCTTTTTTAGAAACAACAATATCCATTGGGCTTTTTTGTAGTACTTGTAGTAAAAAGTGACGATACTGATTGTTACGGAGCTCCCAGTATGATTCCTTTACGGAATAAACAAGTTTATTTAACAATAAACCCTAGTATTACCAAACACGATTATGTTGTTGCATCAGGAGTAATAGTATCTGTGATTTTCACTTTTTGTATTGCCTATGTCGTGAGCGTTGTGATGTTAAAAATTAAAAAAGAGAGGAAAATTAAACAAGAGTTATTAGATCAAGAATCAGAACAAATTGATGAACCTGTACCAAGTCCTTTAACGGTACAAGAGGTAAGACAATATACCAAATAAAAAATAAGAGAAAATTTTGATTAATTACATTAATTACGTTATAGTCCATCCCACATCGATCAATATCGATAGAAGATGAAGATGATTCTTCATTGGATGAAGACGATATTGACTTAATGGAAGATGCCTTGGATGATAAAGAAATAATACGGACAAAACTTGTACTTTCCGTTTGCGATTTGGCACGTAAAGCTCCAAAGATTCTTAGGCACAAATCTCGATTATACTTGTATTATCTGATAACGGTTTCTATCTTCTATATTTTACCTGCGGTACAACTATTACTTACGTACCAGCATGTACTTCATGTTACTGGCAATCAAGATATGTGCTATTACAATTTTTTATGCGCCCATCCATTTTTATCATTGTCAGACCTTAATCACGTATTTTCAAATATTGGATACATTATGTTGGGTTTTTTGTTTATATTTTTGACATCTTCTCGAGAACACGATGAGTTCGACAGAGAGAAAAATAAGTGTTATGGCATACCACAACATTATGGATTATTTTACGCAATGGGCACTGCACTTATTATGGAAGGAATACTCTCAGGAAGTTATCACGTGTGTCCAAATCGAAGTAATTTTCAATTTGGTAAGACCATTTTGGTAAAATTACATGCTATAAATTTTGTTATGTCATTAATGATAAATATTATATTATTTATTTAGATACGAGTTTTATGTACATCATAACAGTGTTGTGTATGATTAAAATTTATCAAACTCGTCATCCTGATATAAATGCTCGAGCATCAGTTACATTTGCAATGTTGGCATTCATCATCTTCGTAGAATTGTTGGGAGTTTTAAATGGTACAATATATTTTTTCGTTCTGTTTACGGTCATACATTTGCTAACTTGTCTTTATATGACTATTCAAATTTACTACATGGGGCGGTGGAAAGTTAAAGAATGCTTAAAGAGAATAATACAGGTAACTTCATACACTTTGATATTTGAATCTAATATTTCTGTTTTATCTTGATCTAATTACTTCTGTTAGGCACAATTTATCACTGATTTCATAATTTTTTAGATTTGCAAACACGATGCCCAACCTGGGTATAGATATTTGTTTCGACCTTTGTATATGGGACGTTTTATCATACTTGTTATAGCAAATTTATGGAACGTTTTTCTCGCAGTACTTGGGAATATACATAACGAGAAAAACTTTGCAACATTTTTGTTGGCTGTATTAATGTCTAATTTAATTTTATATACCTTTTTTTATATTTTTATGAAGGTATGTACACACACACACATGAATGATTATATCTATATAGTTCGTCTATATATTATGAATTAATTTACTTTATAATATTTCAGATTTGTCATAAAGAACGAATTCTACTTCAACCAGCGATTTATATTATTTTATCAATCGCGTTTTGGGGCTCTGCTTTATACTTTTTTATAAACAAACCCATCTCATGGGAACTTACCCCAGCGCAATCACGCAATTATAATAAACCCTGCATACTCCTAAATTTTTTTGATAGCCATGACATTTGGCATTTTTTGTCTGCCCTAGCAATGTTTTTTTCATTTATGGTATTGCTTACTCTAGATGATGATCTAATTGATGTGCATCGAAGTCAAATTTCAGTCTTTTGAGGACAATGGCATGAATGAATTAATAATATAGAGAAGTATTGATCATTTTTTTTACAACTCTGATGATATGATTGCAGAATAATATACATCTGAACTTGATATTAATAAATTAAAAATAGTATAAAATATATGTATGTATAAAGGTCATTTAGCAACTATTTTATATTAAATGTCTTATTTCCGTTAAATATTCAAATTCACAACATTTTTTTTATTATTTACTCCTTTATTAAATTGTTTCTAAAGATCAAAGAATTTTCTTTATTTTATATTACGATTGAAAAAATAGTACCTAATACTTTAAAAATTACCCATCTGTCTGTTTTTTTTTCTATTGACGGAAATGGGAAATATCGATGTACACATTAGTCATTCGGTAAAAATAAACGCAACGAATAAACTTTTTTTCTAAAAAAGAAGAAAAATATATACATATATGCATATATATAAATATAAATAAATAAACATGTATATATATTACTTATTTATTTATTTATATATATGTATGTACGTATATATGCAATATAATTTCTATATTCATGAATACACTTATTATAAACAAAGGGCACACCTTGCCACGGTTTAGGAGACGGCAGTGATACTGTCTGACACTCGATAGCATCACCATCATTGAACTTTAATAAGACACGAATTCGTTTACTTTCTATCAAGTAACGCTATCGATAGAAACAATTATTAACTTTCCAAAAATTATACTACTCCCGTACAATTTGCTATTAACAAGAATAACGAGTGTCTGTACAATTAATGCTAATAGAGCTACATACACCAGGTACGCAGATAGACAAGAGATATTCTTATTTTTTTTTTTTTTTTTTTAATTTAGAGAAACATTAGGACGAAGCACTTGAATCATTGTGGTGTTCCTGCGTGGTCGTTTCTATCTGTGACAAAGTTCTTTGTAATTCCGTACGTTCTGCTGGCTGTAATCTATGTGCAATTTCTAAAATTGCATTTAATCTCACTTCTGGACAAGCTTCAAGGGCTTCTTTGATACGAGAAACGACTGCGTCTTGTTTTACACACGTAATATTACGTGAAACAACACTGTTCTCGTCTTTACGTTGATTCTCCAACCAATTTGTTGCAGCTTCATCTTGATCCCACAAATAAGATTCTGTGGCACCTTTGTCTTCCATGAACCATCTACGCAACATTGCACTGATTTGCCTAACATCTAGAGTGTGTTGAGTTGAAAGAATTTCGTTCTTTATTTCGTCCTCCAAAAGTCTTCTTTTAAGCCGCCAATAAAGCAATTTGCGTGCTTTTCGCCATGGAATAATATCGTGAATGGTATTTTTTTCAAACATTCTCTCCGGCGTATCATGAAGATCCGCAAAATGTACTGCAATTTGATGATACATAGGCTCCAAAAGTTGTTCTCTCTTACGAATTTGATTTTCAATGTCTGTTCTCTCTTCAGCTGAACTTGCATTGGATAGATTTTCCTGAAATAACAATTGATGTATCACATCTGTGATCTGTTATTTATAAAGTAAAAAATTATTAAAAAAATAACGATTTCTTACTTTAAGTTTCTGTATTACTGTATCAACTCTATGCATAGCTTTAACTATGTCTTTAGCTCTAAATTTGATTTCTACTATTCCACTAGCCTCTAGAACTCCGCCTCTGCTTGTATTATCAGCAAACATTTCCATATAGCGAGGATTTATCGTCGGATCAACAACAGCCCAAGCACCACCTCTCAATTCTCCATTCGGTGGAATATATACAAATATTGGTTTGGTATACTCTCTCAATCCATCCACGATATAAGCACCGAATTTGATGATTTGCTCGTACATATCTACAAAAGATACAACTTGTTGATAATTTATTCAAAATGAAAAGTTTTAGCAACTGTCAGAAATTAATCTAAAGACCTTTCATTCCACCAGAGAATCCTCTCCAATTAGCAAAAATAAAAAGCGGAAGCTCTTCCTTTCCGAAATCTTTGATAGCCTGGGCAGTTTTGTACGCGCTATCTGGGAACCACACTTGTCCCGCCTGAGATATCGTTTTAGCTTCCGAGTCGGGATTAGCAGGATCAGCAGGTAAATGCAACTCGACGGTTCTTGTTTCTACTGCAATAACGCCACAAGGAATTCCACCTAACCTTGCTCTTCCAGTTACAACAGTTTGGGCCCAGGGCCTCATAATTTCCTGTAAACAATATTGATAACATAGAAACGCTTCCATCATTTTATTAAATTCAATCGACAAGTAATATTAATGTATGTTAACGAGTTACATTAATATGATATATATACCTGCCAAGAACCACGATCAAAGAATCCACTTTCCCAGTAGTTTGTACCATTTTGTATTCGACCTTCGAGCATGAATCTTGGATCATAGGCTGTCTTCGTAGGAACATACATGATTTCTCTCTCGATTGGATCAGGAAGCGGTGCTGATAATATAGGAAGGGGCGCTCCCTTAAACTTGGGACAGTAGCTTAACCACCTTAAAGCAGTGGCAACACCTTCTAAATCCCTCGCGTTAGTTGCATGTGATACCCCATTGTTATGCATGATTTGTATACCACCTAGCTGATTATTACTGGCATACACTTCGCGACCTAGCACAGTATTCAACGCTTTATAACCAGTTAAAATGATGTGAGAATTTTCTATCTGAATGACCCTTTGTCCAAGACGTACTAAGTAAGCACCAATGCCAATGGCCCTGCAGGACACAATGGAGATTGTGACTATCTCATCGTAGGCTCTTGATGTCTCTCCGGCGATCATACCGGCGTACTTCAGATTCTCTACGCCAAGACCATCGTCTTTACCAATGATGTCGGTAATTTTGTAACGAGATTCTCCCTTATCTTCGATCAACGAAGTTTTCACCGAATTGAGCGGTGCTAAACGCGCGTAATCGTCCGGCGTTAAATATATATATTTAAACCCTTTTTCAGGCTCGCTCTCGTCTTCCCAAGCAATTCTGAACAACGCTTTCACCTCCTCTGCCAGACCGATACGAGCCCCGGAATTTGCGGAGAAGTATATCCGAGGGATTCCAAGCTGTCTAGCTCTCTCAGACGCTCTGCAGAATACCAAATCTTCCTTCGGCCCGAACGAGCCGATCAGATGCGTCAAATCGTTCGCAATTAGTATAACGTCCCGGCCAGATACCGGATACTCTGGCGTGTAAAGCCTCAGTCTCCAAGCGACCATACCAATATTGTTCTCACCAGGTAGTCTCTTTTGCTCCACTAGATTGTCACCTTCTAATACTAACTCCACGCAATCCATCACAGGATTTGGAATAGTGATATTGCATTGCGGCCTTTCCTCTATATGTTTATGCCAGAATTTCTCGACCTGCTGTCGAAACATGTCTGGCAAGTCGTACACGTACGTTGTACCGGAACTTTGCGCCAGGAACCGTTTCGCTTGAAGATAATCTTTGGTTAGATACGGCGTGGAAATCGGAAGACCGTGCATGGGCCCGGGCCTCCAAGTGCCATTCGCCGTCGACGAGGGGTAAGATTCGAAACGAATGATACCAGTCTTTGGATCGGTTGCCTCCGTGTAAAGATGCAGATCTATACTGTAACCGCTGTCGTTGGCAATGCACAAACGTAAGATGGACGTTGGCTTCCCCGGTGCTGGCCGAATCGTCATTTTGATCTCGGCCTGGCGTACACGCAACTTCCACAATCTCGGACCGTACCTCAGCACCATGCTGGTCACGCTTTCCTCTATTCTCACTGGATCCATGATGACCGTCGGCACGAAGTTCAAGAAGATGTGATTGCATTCCGAACGCTTGGCAAGCGGATGCGAGAACGCGACCTCCAGCTCGTCCATGGCTTCCAGCAGCACGCGTTCACCTTCGTTGTGAAGATAATCGAAGCTGGCCTCTTTCGTAATAAGATCGGAATGCCTTATGATAGAGCGAATGAAGAAACGATAATCGGTGACTTGTTGCCCCTTGGCGACCTTCGCCTGGCCAAGGTAAAGGTGCATCTTTTGATTCGAGGTCGGCAACGCTTCGAGATCGTACGTTCTCATTCTGTTCAATTCCAGCTGGAAAGCGCAGCCAGGCTCGAGGTGTCGGTAAATCTTGTCCTCGATGAAACCGTCCCTGTGACGGTAGGTGAAGAACTTCGGGAACTGCCTTTTCTTCAACACGGCGAACGTTATCCTTCTTATGTCGCGCGAGATCAATTCCTCTTTGTTCGCGGCGCACCAATCACCAAACAGTTTCGCCATCGTAGCGTCGTCGTGGTTTTCCTTCTCTTGGACAGCGATGCTCAGAATGTGCACCGGCTCTGCGGGCCGTTCGCTCAGCTCCACCGCGGTATTCTCCGCGGTGCTTAGGGACACGTTTATAGACGTGCTGTGCCTCGACTCGCTCGCAGCCGCGTCCACCGCTTCTGCTAGAACTTTGGCCGACGCTGAGGTAACCGAGGACAGGTCTTCCAGGAGATCGAAGACCTCGTCGGAATAACGAACGAACTGTTCCATGTCTTGGAAAGCTGCCATAGCTCCGGTTCTGTGATTCACCGAGGACTGATTCTGTATGTTTGGATGATTGTTGGGCAACAAGAACTGGAAGTGTACGAGGGGCACTTCGCCCGACAGCTCCAGGTGTTGCACGCAGGTCAACTCGTAGCTGATGTAAGCTCTGCGAACGTAAACCTCCAGGGCAGCGTTGCAAACCGTGCGATTGGAATGGTAGAAGAAATCGTGAAGAATATCGAAGATAGACGTCTCGGAGAGGATCAGTTTCTCGAGATTTTCTGGATGGAAGTCGTGGCCGTACATGTCCACCGCCGACAAGAATATGGATTCCATTTGGTTGTGCCTCAATTCGTACGCGGGTTGATGAGCCGCGATCAAAATTTGCCTAGCGCGTAGCGCGACGCGACTATGCTCCGTACGATTCAAGCTCGTTAATTCCGTCAGCGTGCTTGACAATTCGTCCGTGAGACCCGGCTCGTTCGCCCAGAGATGGTCTATGAGCATGGTTACCAAAACGTTCTTCTTCGTCACTTGGTTGTGGCTAAAGATCATGGCCGTTATCATTGCCACGTCGTCCTTGTACTGATCTATCAAAGCTGAAACGCATTTGTCGTAATGACCCTGTTGGAATTGGCTCTCGACGGTGTAGTACTGCCGGAGGAGTTCGTGAACGGCTGTTTTCATCCTTCCGCGTATACCGTTC